GAGTGTGTTGACATTTCAGAATTTTAAATCAAGCCCAGAGGAATGGTGTTACTCAGGACACTGCATACATCCAGCTTCACATAGGCGAGGGATTAACTTAGTGTTCTAATTAGCCTAATGAGAAAATACTTTTTTCACCCATTTTTTTAATCAAAATTTAAAAATCAATATGGTAAAATGCTCATGGGACTATAGGAGATTCACATACTATGTGAGAACATGATTTACTATAGTTTTTGGACTACAATGTCTGCAATATTTATAAAACTTTAAACTATTTACACCCTTTCCACAATGTTCACATTGTTATATCTTTCCTAGTAGAAAACATACACACTTGCATAAGCATTCATATTGAAAGATGTTGATTTCAGTTCCGTTAATCATAACAAAGGGAGAACAACTTGTGTATCCATCAGGAGAAGAATAGTTTAATTAATTATGCACATGAATGCTTTAAGATTCTAGAGAGTGGTTGAAAAATCAAGGTAGATATATACATGCTGTCATGGTAAGATCTTACATTCATTTAATTAAGAAGGCAAGTAGCATGTCAATATATACAGCATTACACATGTATGTTAAAGTAACCAATATACAAGTATGTTACAGCACATCTCTGTATGAAAAAGCCTAAAATCAGCTTTAAAATAATACACACCAGATTAAAAATTGTGGTAACCTCTGAGGAGGAAGCTGAATTATGGAAAAACTTCGAAAAGAGAGGAATTATTATATATCCATATTTTTATGGTTTTTGCAACAGAAATACATGCAAATGCACACTTTTCGCAATTACACTATATAAATAAGCCTAATAGCAAAAATAGTAGCTGTGTATTAGTTAGTTAAAGTGACTGGTAGCTGATGCAACAGACAAACACTGAAATTTCAATGGCTCGACAAAACAAAAGTTTATTTTTTGTGCACATAAATTCTGATGCAGTTTGACATGGGCCGACTGTTCTCAGGTGACCCAGGGATCCAGGATGCTTTGAGATTGTAGTTCTGCCATCTCAACAGGGAACTGCCGTGTTTGCTGTCGAATGGAAGGAGAAAGCATGGAAATGATGTCCTGATTCTCAAATGCCTAGATGTGAGAAACAATGCTTCTGCTCATGTGTCAGTGGCAAGGAAAAGTCACATGACCCTTGCTAAGTACAAGGGGACTGTACTGTTTCCATGTGCCCAGAAAGAAGAGAAAGAGAAGATGTGGATGACTACTATAGTCACTCCCATAAACTGTAACATAGTAGGTGCTCAACAAAAAATAACTACTATAATTTATGACAATAACTATTCATTTTTTTAAAGTTTTTTTTATTTCAGCATATTATGGGGGTACAGATGTTTAGGTTACATATGTTGCCCTTGCCCCCCTTCTCCCCCTAAGTCCGAGTTTCAAATATGTCCATTCTTCGGGTGGTGCACATTGCACTCTTTGTGTATGCATATACCTGTCCCCTCCTCCCTCCTCCCCCCCCCGCCCAACATCCAATAGATGTTATTCTTATATGTGCACTTATGTGTTGATCAGTTAATACCAATTTGATGGTGAGTACATGTGGTGCTTGTCTTTCCATTCTTGGGATACCTAACTTAGTAGAATGCATTCCAGCTCTATCCAGGAGTATACAAGAGGTGCTATATCACCATTGTTTCTTAAAGCTGAATAGTACTCCATGGTATACATATACCACATTTTATTAATCCACTCATGTGCAACCTCTGTGGAAAGCAATATGGAGATACCTTAAAGAGATACAAGTAGAAGTACCATTCGATCCAGCAATCCCATTACTGGGCATCTACTCAAAAGAGCAAATGATACTGTATAAGAAAGACACCTGCACCCAAATGTTTATAGCAGCACAATTCACAATTGCAAAGATGTGGAAACAATTCAAGTGTCCATCAATAACTATTCATTTTTGAAAGTGCTTTCTGAGAAGGTAAAATTTGCCTTGAAATTCTCCAATGTTTTGAAGTGCCTGCTATGTGACCTATGCTTTCTAATATAGGATCACAACTGTCAGAAGATCCTGTACTTCTCACTAGGAAGGCTCACCGGGGGTGCTTCCCTTTCTAATACCCTCTAAATCCTTAATAGGCTCAGAATTTTCTACTTCCTTTTGCTTCAAGGCCAAAATCTTAACCTCTGAGTTTCTGCTACTCTGCTGCTACCAGAACACCTGTGCAGGTGCCTTTAGGCACACTGAAAGTCAGTATATTCCCGTGGGGTAGGTGCCAGACAGGAGGCAGTGGGGGGCTGGTTAATTTTTTTCTTTTGAAATTCGAGCTACCATGCCCACCAAGGAACCGTTTTTCACTTCTTGGGTGAAACCAGGATTTTAGTTCAGCCTCAGCACATGTTTGCCCCACAGTGATTTCCATGGTCTTTCCTCATTTCTGGCTTAAGACACTTTGGTTTTGACCTCCAAACTAAGCTCAGACATTTACATATGTGTTCAGTGGACAGTTCCAAATACAACACTCCATTAAACTCCTATGGCAAGTATCAGGGTGATCTGTCTCCAACTTTATATCACAAAAATGATAGTATGTACTAAATCACATTGCACTCACCACGCATTTGGAGAAGTGTGGGTGTACTTGGGATGTACTTCAGGATGACTGGATGTCTAAACGTCCCTGTCCAAAGTGAACCTTTAAGTTGAAGGGGCTGTGGCTATCACGGAGGCTCCGGGGGAAGCTGTGGGAGAGCCAGGGGGCTTCTGCAGAGGCTAGGGATGCTCTGTGTCACAGGGAGGGCAGTGATTCTGTGCAGCCTCCAGAGGAGGCAGCAGAGAGGAGCTGGCAGGAGCCCAGGCTCCAGAGTGAGGAGGGAGGCCACATGGGAGAGACCAGGGGAAGGGCGCTGTCATGTGGGAAAGTGCCAGGGCAGGACAGACAGGCCCCTTACTGAGCAGTCAGCTCTCAAGCAACCCTTGGGCACAGGGAGGAGGACCCTAGGTTAAGCAAGCTCCAGACTATCCCCAGATTGTGTTTCACTATCATCATCACCTTCCTTTGTTAGGCCTGGTTTTAGTACCACAGCCACAGGGTCCTTCTTTTTGTCACCTGAGAGACATCAGGGAGTACTGAGAAGAGAAATGAATTCAGAGACAGAGCTCTACCTGAAGCTGGGAGGAGTGGGATCAGTGTGGGCTATAGATGAATTCAGAGCAGGCTTGTCACTTACTAGCCATATGATCTAGGGAAAATTACCCAGCAATGTGAGCCTCGGGTTCTTCGTCTGTATGTGGATTTAAGTATTGTCTTGTAGGAATGTTGGGATGTAGGAAATGTATTAAAACATCCCGCATAGTGTCTGGCAATCAAGGGATTTTTCATGACTGTCATTTACTTCTGATATTATTTTTTACCCGGGACCCACTCTCTCCTCTGGAAAATACTTTTGTTCTCCAAGTCATTTCAGAGAATTTGCAGCTGAATAAAAACCTGAACCAAAAATCACACAAAAATGCTGCCCAGTAAATGTTCCACGAGGATTTATTATTTCAGTAAGTGTCGGGGAGTCTTCCCCAGTTAGGTGCAACTAACGTGAATATCCTAATATTATGTGGAGTTAAGGCCCAACTACTTTCCTTCATCCCAGCTTCTCTTCCATCTAAACCACTATTTTCATTCATTTTATCACCACCCAAAATCTAGATCTTGCTTACAGTTGTGCAAGTTACACTAAAAATAACCTAATTAAAATTCCATTTTAATAGGGTCAACTCTGGTTCTCCCAGCCGGGCAGATAAATACCCGGCCAGTGGCTTCGGGGCCTCACTTCATGGGAGATTCACCTGTATCTCCCAGGAAATCCTTGCAGAGGATGGGAATCGATCACCTGGTTCTTGCACTGTCCTCAGCTGAAGTGGGACAAGAGCAAGGGACACCTTCCATACCTTCCCCAGGTGGGATTTCTCTCTGCTTTACTCACCATCCAGAAGGAACTGCTCAGGACAGTTCTCCCTTCCAGGCTTTGCTCTCAGCCCAAGGTCACGAGTCACATGGTCTGAGAGTCTGGTCCCTGCCACCACCCAGCTTCATTACAACCAACTCCCACAGAAGGAACTGCAGTTTCCCAAGGCCCCAAACTGCCCTGGCTCAGGGCACCCACACCCCACTGCTCTCACCAGAAGCACCACCGCTCAACCCTTCCGTCACTTGTTCTTTAGGACTTAGGGGACATCTCACCACCTTAATAATATGACTGCAGCTCCTAGACTCTCTCATCCTATGGGCAGGGGTGGGTTTGGCTTATCCTAGTGTCTCCGTTAACCCTGGGCCTTCCAAAGAGCAGATGCTCAACGAATATTTGGGGAACAAATGTGCCAGTGAGCAGGGGCTCTTATTTATTGGGATTAGATTTCCCCTACATTCTCAAATAAGCCAAGCAAACTCACATCACAAATACATTTTAGTTTTATAGAAAAACACGTGAAAAAGAGTAAGATGCCAAGAAATAACTGTCTTTAAATTTTATTTCTCTACTTCATAACTACATATATTTAAACGCAACGTTCTTTCACATTTCCAAGAAAATTGCTATTCCAATGAAATTCTAATTCCACCTTGTTCCAAGCAATGAAATGAGATGGAAGGTTTCCTCATTTGTTTTTCAAAATAGGAAACTCTTACTTTGGATAAGCAAAATTACATATGTGCTCAATATCACTCACCAACTTAGATCCTGAAGCTAATTAAATCTTCTGGATAAGGGAGGGGTCAAACAAGACCCCCAGATAAATGTCTACAGGCTCAAAGAATAGAAGGTCTTCAAACAGCTCTGCTCAGAACTCCATAACCTGCTGCTGGCAGCCCTCTCCTATGCTCAAATGCTCATGGAGAAGCTCCACTCTGCTCTTACTGCCATCCAAGGAGTGTGTCCTATCTCCCATAGCTGGCTGTTGTTCTCAGTGGTGTCACTGTTCTCCTGGCCCACGCGCTCAGAAACCCCACCACCTCTCCTCGGCCACCCTCCCTGGCTACCCCAAGGCTGCCAAGGATTTCCCTTTCTCCCCCAGGCTCGCTGCACTGGGCTCATTGGTGCCGAAGCCAATCACACCGTGACAGTCCTGCTGAGAGGGTGCTGCTGCTACACACAGCGCTGAAAACAGAAGAGCACCTGCCAGATGAGGCCATGCACAGGGCTCTTCCTGTGCTAGACCTACAGAGGGTGCGAGGCATGCATCTTGAAAGGACAGAACGTCTTTAAAAGAAAAAGTATGGTCATATTAAATATTCATTAAAAAACATCAATTATACTTATTTGAAAAAGTCTAAATTATTAACAGTAAGACCCAGCCTACCCCCACCCCCAGTCTCTAAAAAACCTAAGAACTTTTCAAACTTCATTACAAATATATGCATTTTGACATCTATGAATTTTAGATGAAAATATACTTGAAAGCAACAAATCACCACTACTTAACTTGCTGGAAAATGCAGAGATTAGGAAACGTTCTAGAAATGTCCAGTTTAATAAGTTCCAGACTAGCTTCTCTGTCTGCTGCTGACAACCCAGCATCTGTCAGAAGATGTCAAAAGTCACTACAGTCCTCAGTGGCATGAATGTGGGATAATTACGAGGCTTTAAAGTTTTATAAGAGTGAAACAAGGAAAGAAGTTCTCTGAAGTACACTGACCTAATTACATCTTGACTCAAACAGAGTCCACCTTCAGAGTATATAATAGTTTATAGAGTTTCTTATTTTAGACAACAAAAATTCCTATGGCACCAGCTAATGCTCGATCATTATCGGATATTTTCTAGAGTCTGAAATCAAAATCTAATTTGATGTTACCTTCATCAACATAATCAGTGGAAAATAAGGATAAGCAGGGAAATATACACAAATGAACTCCACACATTAAAAAAAAACACCAAAAAATCATTATTTGATCTCAAACATCACTGGTATAAACTTAGTATATTTAAGAGCAGTATTATATTCATGTAATATTTCTAACAAATATTCGTAAATAACTTGTTTTATATTTTTTTAAATTCTAATACCACATAGACTATAAAAAAAGATCAATAAAAAACATACTTCTTAACCAACAGAAGTAATCATTCTTGTGTGTTATGGGAAATTCTAAAAGCATAATCTAGCAAATACCAGTGTTCTTGCCTCTTTGGAAGTAGTCCCCCCTCTAGGAGTCAATATTCAACTAATCCCAGGCACTGGGCTACAGTAAATCACATGAATAGCTTTTAAGGAAATGATACTGGTTACAACCAGCCCTCCAGCATGTTAGGACACAAACAGCTCGCAGGAACTAGTATGTTCTATTTCTTATAAAAGCTTTTTTTCCTTTAATTTTTGCTTCAAAAACCCTGTTTCCCATGAAGCTTTTAGAAATGCACATCAACCACTACTGCAGTGAAGTAAACTTTATTATGTAATACAGAATGCCACAGATAATTGACCAAAGCAGCACGCTGGTTTTAGAATGGTCTATACCTTCACTCTCCACTTCAGAACTTCCTGTGCTAATGGACCGCCACCTCTCCTTGGCTCGGGCAAGACAGATGTCAAAGAGCTCTGGAAAAAAAAAGCTTCTGGGTAAGTCTTATATACATATGTGAGTATTTTTCACGCACTACTATCTCCTTCAAATATTTAAGTTCAACTATAGTAGGCTTAATTGTGCACGAAATAAGCCACTTAAACAATTTCCCGCAACTTTGCCTGAAAGTATTTTCATTGTTTAAAGACACAGCCATATACAAAGAAAGAATACACATGATACCACCATGCCTGGTATTTACCTCTGTTACACAGCCCACCCACAAAACCATCTTATTTTGATTTATGATTTGTCCATTGCCTCTCCCAGACTGTGAGCTCCTTGAAGGTAAGACTGTGAAGGTCTCTCACTCACCTCTGCATCCAGAACAAACCACGCTGGACTTGACAAAGAACAATGCAACCAATGAATACCTGACTGATGGAGGGAGGGAAGAAGGGAGGGAGAAGCAGAAAACCATCTGGTCCAAGTAAGGACATGATGGAATTGCTCCCCACCTGGCACAGGCCTCCTATTCTAGCTGCCGGCAGTGAAGCAGGGGTGGGAGCAGATCCCAGGAACGGCCAGAGGCCTCAAAGAATAAGGGCTCTTGCTGGCAGAGAAGTATCACGACAGTCACAAAATCTCCTCCATACTTAGAACTTATTTTTTCGACAGTTCTTCTCTTTGAGTAGTTTGTAATAGTTAAGTAATAACTCATGCTCACAAAATTTACTAGTTTACACAGACCTCCATGAGTATATCCATGCCCCATTCTTCTTCAATGGACAATAAGAAGACTAACACCACAGAGCTCTTTCTCAGAGCCCTGCTCCCCTACCCAGCCCAGTCCCAGCTGCCTCCTGTTCCCCTGGCCTCGATGCTTCCCAGCTCCCAGATATCTCAAATCACTAATAATCACTAATCAATCAGAGACTTTAACAGCAGCCACCCAAAGAACTTTCATCATTCTAATTTTTCCATCATTACTTTTGGAAAATAAAGCAGAGCACACCTGCCTTCTGGGTAGTGACACTATTTTATCAACATGTAACTCAAATTCTAGTAACATAATTATAACCCAACAAGTAAAATCTAGATTAATGCCCTTGTTCTAGCCTTGTGAGGGATCCGACTTAGAATCTATGGTGGTCTGCCATGGCAGGAGGAGGCGCAGTTATGAAGTACAATGTCACAGCACCATTGTCCAGAAGGCAGCAACTCAGTGCAAGTGCTGCCAGGACTGCTCTGCCAGTGCTCTGAGCTGGTGGCTAGAGCACCCAGCGGGGCCTTTGCCTGCTCTTAGCCTCCAGGAGGCAGACCAAGCTTTGGTCATTTTGGCAGGAGATGGGTGAAAACCACTGTGTGGCCATGACCATGAGGGAACCACTTCCCACATGAGGTATTTGACAGTTAGGGCACAGATTCCAGTAGCCCAAGGGTAAAATGGGTCCAAGTGTCAGAGTTTGAAAACTCTCCCCCTTGGCTCTATTGGTGTGTATTTTGGGGTTGGGGTGGGGGCTAGAACAGCTACCACTACTTTTTCCCAGACACCCTGTCTCAATTTCAAAGTACAAGAGTGACTTAGGCCTCAAGAGTGAAGTTTTAATAGTACTATTAGGTTGACTTGACTTTCAGTAAGTTTCCAATTGTACAACCACAAAAAGAACAAAACTCTGTGGCTTCCCAAGTCAAAACACGGGCTTCAGAATCAGCTAGGGCGGGAATCATAATCCTGGCCCCACACACACTAGCCATGAGGCGTGGGGCACAGTCGCCAGCCTTTCCAGGATGCTAAAAGTTCTCAAGAGGAAAACAAGGTCAAGGTCACTGTCTATATAGAGACATGTCTTAAATAAGGCATGTAAGTAAAGAACCTAACATGATGCCTGGTACTCAACAACTGGAATCCAAGATCATTTGTGTTCTTACACCAGCTTGGAGATGCAGTAAAATTGAGATTAAGTAGGTCCCAATAAGGTGGCATTCACTCACTCAACAAGTATTTCTTGAGGACCTGCCATGTCCTGAGACTTGAGCTGGGCACAGTGACAGAGCAGAGAGTACAGCAGATGAGGCCCCAGCCTTCTGAACACTAGTTCTACTGGGGGCCACTGACATTAACCAGCTAATCATAACAAGACAGACACAGTTTAAACAAAACGAGCCAATATAAGGGTTTAGACAAACATTTAAGACATATAATTGATTAATTAGCTGTTTAGCACAACCTACTATGATACGGTCCATGGAAGGTTTTAATTTAAATAAAAGCAACCCAGTCATCAGTGAGAACCAAAAATGTAAAATACACATACAAAGTACTGTGCATTACATTCAATTTGCAGGGACAGGGTTATTGATAGTTTAGAAATTTTCAAGAACATGGACTGAAATAGATGCTCAGCAATTTCTCCAACTCTTAAATTCTAAGGATGTTTTTATAAAGCTATTTCCACAAGTTAAATGTTATACATCTTCTCATGTAAAGATGTTAAAACAAATTTTTGGCAGGTATGGATTTAGCCAAAAGAGGAGCTTTGGAGGGAGTTCACTGCTCCCATGTTCCCTCTTTAGTACCCTGCTGCACAGAAGCCAGTAACCATCCAACCAACCAGCTGACGTTTCTCAAGATAAAAATGGTAACAGAAACCCCAACTAAGAGGGGGAAGATACAAATCAATCTGCTTTAAACTCAAAAGGCCTTCACCAGAGTAAAAACTGCATCAACTCCACCAGCCAGTATTGAGTACCTGACAGAAGAGCAGGAAGGTGTCCCTGTCCTCCCTTAGCTTCAAGTGCAGGTAGGGATACAAAAACAAGAAGGAACGACTACCATTTATTAAGCACTTGATTTTAAGTCTGTGAGCTCCTGGCACCAATTTCACTATGGCTGCACAGAGCTCTACAGAGTGCTTGGGACACACTGGAAGTGAATCCAGTGAATCCAGTCTGGTGGAGGAGATGCAGACGGCCTGAGAATGCTGAGCAGGGTTCTCGCACAACGGCCCCAGAGTTAAGCTACTAGAGCCCCAAGGACCCCAGTCCTACCATAGTAAGTTGTCCCCGCTGAGGCTGCCTGAAAATAATCCCACAAAAAAAAAAAAAACAGGTACCCTTGTACAATAAATAACTCCACAGAAAAGAGCCACCTGTCTCCACTCATTTTCACATCATAAGGCTAGCCTCTACAGGACTTTGATAAGTGATCCTAAGGTACCTCACACTGATGAGCTGGTACCCTCTATCCAGGCTTTTGCTCTGAACTATCAGGTAACTGAAATACCTAGGACTAAACCCAGGCCTCCCAGCTGCCCCTCTCTCCTGGAGGATAGTCACCTGGGCTCTCAAAAGACACAGCTTCATGGCAATGGTTGCCCCTCTTAAGGGCAGAAGGGACAGAAGAAGCTACAGGACCCAGGGGGTGGATTCACCAAGGCTAGGATCATGCAAACCACTCACCGTGGGTGATATTTAACTCGTTGCCAATGGCTAAGCTCCAGACTTTGCCTCTCACACTTGGAGGGATTCCCTGCCACCACGAATCTCGAACTTTTCTAGAGCACCACCTGGACAAAAATGGAAGTATGAGTTTATGAGTTTGTTCTCCACAAAGAAATAGCTGTCTCCCTAGCCCCAAACCACCAGGAGCTAGGGATGCACAGTTATATAAGGCACAGCCCCTGCCCTCAGGGAGCTAAGAGTCCAGGGTTCTGTAAAGATCAGATCAATAATCCCTGTTCACTGGGCAACTATCATGACAGGTATTGAAGGATACAGCACAGCAGGGAGCACAGCAGGGAGCACCACAAGCCAGCAGGCCCAGGGCACTATTCTGGAGCCCAGTTCTGAGTAAGCAGTAGCAATTTAAGCACATGAAGGATGAGAAGGAGTTTCTCAGCAGAAAACACAGAAAAAAGAAATAACCTGGCCTCCTACAGAAACTGCACATAGCTGCACATGGGTGAGGAGGGCCAAGCAGCACTGCTGCAGAACTAGGGGTAAAAGGCAGACCCCAAGGGCCCCGTGAGGTGAGCCCACGGAGACAGCAGACAGCCACCACACTACCACACAGGCGGAGCACTCAGGTTCGAGCTGCCAAACTCTAACTGTGGAGAAGAACTCTGCTGACTCAGAACATTCTGGACTGCACAAAGTCATTCAGGTCTGCTGGTCACAATGAACACACACTGCCAAAAGACTGCACAATGCAAAGGTTCCGCAGACTCTCAAGGTGCTCCTGAACACAGCACAGTGGGGGAGCATAGGCTTTGGGGTTGTAGATTCCAGGAATCTGGAGGAAATTACTTTTCCTCCCTGAACCTGTACCTCTCTAAAATCAAGAGGATGAGACCTACCAGCCAAGGGGTGTTGTGAGGACTAAGCAGGATAAAGTACAAAAGCATCCAGCACAGCGCCTGGTGGAGTCCATGTGCATTCAATGGCAGCTGTTGCGTGTGTATGTGCATTCAGATCACACCTAACACAGGACAGTGTAGGATGGGCCAGGGGTGGGCTCTGCTGCCTCTCAGGAAGCAACAAGCGTTCTGAGAACCTCTATTCTTGTTACTGGGTCCCATTTAAGAAAAAGTGTGAAGTGTTTCCTAGCAGTAGCAAGCCTTTTGAGGACACTGCCTAGGAGAGCAGGCTCTAAACATATTATCCTCGTGGAGACCCTCAACAGGCAATACGACCCCTGAAGTGTGAGTGACACCCTGGTGAGTGTCATAAGTGAGTCTCCAACATTCTGACATGCAGGGCAAGAGCACAGGGAAGCTGGGATCCAAGCTTCCTGTGTGCCTCTGTGCACAGCCCTGGGACTGCTGCCCACACACTTGCCCCTACCCATTCTGAACACGTAGGAAGAAACAATAGCTGTCCTCAGATGTAAAGATGCCAGTAGCTGCCAGACTATGCGGGGCACACACTCCACTGATACTGGGGGTCATCACCAAAGAAGACCTGGCCTCCATCCTCAAAGAGATAAAGACAAGCTTGAGCAGACAGCTGCGATATACCCAGAGAAGTCCGCCACGGGCACTTCCAGCCAGGGTAGGGACAGTAAAGTCTTCCGTGAGGAAGACTGAGCTTTAAAGAACACACAGGAGGGAGTTAGCTTGATGAGGAGGTGCAGGACAAGAGCATCAGGCTTAAAAGCGGTAACACCGGCTGGGCGCGGTGGCTCACGCCTGTAATCCTAGCACTCTGGGAGGCCGAGGTGGGCGGATTGTTTGAGCTCAGGAGTTCGAAACCAGCCTGAGCAAGAACGAGACCCCGTCTCTACTAAAAATAGAAAGAAATTAATCGGACAACTAAAAATATATAGAAAAAAAAAATTAGCCGGGCATGGTGGCTCATGCCTGTAGTCCCAGCTACTCGGGAGGCTGAGGCAGAAGGATCGCTTGAGCCCCGGAGTTTGAGGTTGCTGTGAGCTACGATGACGCCACGGCACTCTAGCCCGGGTAACACAGTGAGACTCTGTCTCAAAAAAATAAATAAATAAATAAAAAAGCAGTTAACACCTCCTGGCAGCTCCCTAGGGAGAGGGCTCTGTCCACGTGGAGGAGAGATGAAGGATGAGGCTGCAGAGGGAGGGCAGGGCATCTCACAAAGGGTCTTCCTTGCTAAACTAAGGATTCAAATTTTATATTGAGAGTCACAGGAAGTTGCTGGAGTTTTAAGTGGGGAAATAACACAGACTGGTGCTTTAGAAAGACAGCTCAGCAGATGAGTAGAAGATGAAAGCATCCATGAAAGTACACCCAGGAAAGGGACAGCAAGGGCTGAACCAAGGCAGAGGCGATAGAAGACTCTGCAACTTAAACTTACTACATCAAAGGTCTTGCTATCAGCTACAGTGATGCTGCTGCAACCAGCAGATTCTAGAAAGAAATGATCTGCAGTTCAGCAGTATCCACTCTGTCATATCTTACATTGTTTCCCAGTTAGGTAAAATCTCATTATTCCAAGTAAGGACAGCATTGCCAATGCTTTCCTCTACTCTGCATCTTTCTTCCAGCTGCTTTTTCCTCCGCTGGGCTTCTTTCAGCTCTAGAAATCACAATTAAAAAGGGAAAAAAAATCTATTAACTGATACCTCCCATTTTCAAGCTAGATGATTTTTCTTAAACAGTCGTGTTGCAAAAACACCAGGAAAATGGCATCGAAGTAGAGCAAGCTTCAGCTTTCAAGGCTCACTTCATACTCTATGGACTTTAGAATGCTTAGGCATAATCCATCTTTTAATAAGATTTTTTGGTATAACGTGCATACACAAAAGTGTACAAATAAGAATATAATTAACAGAAAATAGAAAAACCCATGAAACTACCATCAAAACAACATAAGTTACTTGGACACCAGAAACTCTCTTGTGCTCCCTGCCCCATCCTCTTCCCAATGTAACCTTCATGCTGATTTCTAACAGCTTAAGCATTACTCTTAATGTAAGAATAGCAACTCTGAGAAATACTGTGTATTTAGTTTATACACACTGTTTTACTATGATAACATACATGTAAAATTTACCATTTTAACCACTTTAAGTGTACAGTTCAGTGGCATTAAGTACATTCACATTGCTGTGCAGCCATCACCACCACCCATCACCAGAACTTCCTCAATTTCCCCAAACTGAAACTTTGTACCTACTACACTAACTCCCCATCCATGTTTCCCTCCAGAATCCAGCAACCACCATTCTACTTTCTGTCTCTCTGAATATGACTACTCTAGGGACATCACCTAAGTGGAATCATACAGTATTTGTCCTTTTGTGACTGGCTTATTTCACTTAGGATAGTATCTTAAAGATTCATCCATGTCGCAGAATGTGTCAGAATTTCCTTCCTTTTTAAGGCTGAATAACACTCCATTGTGCATATATATCACATTTTATTACATATACTTTTTAAATATCCTAGAAAAACAGTTTTTTAGATGTTGGAGGGATTTTATCAAATCCAACCACATCTTATAAATAAAGAAAATAGCTCAGACAGGGAAAGAAATTTGCATGTCATTATTGGCTGAAGCTTTCTCTAACATTTTTATCCTATACAATCTCTTTTCTCATGTAAGTTGAAAGTGTTATTTTCTTGAATAAAGATACCAGGAATGGATAGAAACATGCATTTTTGATCGAAAATTATAAATTTCAAAGAATTAAAGCGTTCGGTAAAGTTCAGGTACTACAACTCCAAAGTTAAAAAGAAAATGCCCAGAAAGACACAAAATCTTGTGCTGCCTTATATAACCACACATGTGAATCCCATTACCTCGTTTTTTGGCCTGAACCACCATTTCTTCATACTGTTGTCTGTGTTTCTGAGCTTCTTCAGCTGGTTTTGCTGGGAGATTTCTTGACAGGAAATAAATGGTTTTCCACAATTATAAATATCGAATAAGTCTTTGAGAAAAAAACCTGAAGCATTATTTACTGAAAAATATAAAGCTCAAAGAACAAAACCTAAATTTAAGATTATGCAGTTCTTTCACAAACTAAAAATATTTTCTTACAAAAGCAAAGCGCACTTGGTATAAAACAACTGAATTATAATGATTAATAGAGAGAAGAACGTAACAATTATCCACAATTACAATACAGATAATATAAACAATTTTTTGCAGTATTTTCACCCCATTCTCCAGAGAAATTTTGATTTGACCACAATACACTAATAATTGTCAACAGTTAATCCTTGCAGTAGGGTATACCAATAGCATTTCTTACATGTATATTCGAATACGTTTCCTGGCCAGTTTTTTTAAGTGTGGGAATTTCCCATTAGTTATGTGATTCATTTGCTTTGTTTTTTATATACAAATGTATATCACAGTTCTATCATGTAAAAAGTGGATGTACCTTCAAATTCCGTTTAAAAAAAATAAAGGGCATGGTCTCTTTCAGAAGCATGCTTGTGAATTTGCCGGCACTGGAATTAATGGGAGGGCAGCAGTGTCTGGCTGCTTGTACCCTTCACATGTGACCCACACTCCCTGGGACATTTTGAACGATTGTCACTTGCAGCAGGAGAACATGGCGAGCCCCCTCCCGCCCCCGTTCACATTTCAGATCATTAAAAGGATTGGTCTTCACTGTGCAGAGGCTTTTCCCAGTGGTCTCTAACTCTTCAGTCCTCCACCTCAGGCTTTCTCTCCCCACACACCCATGATTTTCAAGGACCAAGAATTAACAAAGGAAACATTTCTCCTTTAGATTTCACCAATTTTAAATTTCAGGGATAGCAGGGATCTTAGGGATTAATTAAGAAGGTTTTACAACATCCTTTTCCTTTTTCTTTTTTTAAATGGGGGACGTCTATTCGAACACAACGTTCTACGGAAAGTCAATACTTAGAAGTAGGTAAGCTGTGACCTGGTACAATGGAGCAATCCCTTGTACTCCACTAAGATCTCCAAGCCCCATTTCCTTATTCACATAGCAGGAAACCAGAGGTCCAGAGAGAGGTAGGGACCTGCATAAGACCACCCACAGGCTGCTTAATGCAGGTCCCAAAGAACCCAGTAGGCTAGTCCAGAAATTGTTCTACAATATCAAGGCACCTTCAAAACACCCACTTTAGAGTACACTTTCCAGTGTTTCTTACAGTTACAAACCTATCATTTATAATAGCTACTTAAGTTTTTTCCTTTTTTTTTTTTGATAGTCTGCCCTTGGACATTGAAAAGTATTTTAAAATGCTAAATTAAAAAGAAAAATCATCTGAACAGGAAATCCTGGTCAAAATTTCTGTGCTAAAGGATAATTTTCCAAATAAGTCATTTACTTTCATCACAAAACACATGTTAATATAGGGAATAGTGATTACAGCTGACCTTTCTTCTCTCTTGTGACCCTAGCTCTTTTCTAATGAAAAGCAAGTTCTAAAACAAACTCTTAAAGAGATTCTTCTTAAGACTCATGCTGGTCTGTCTTCAAGGATGAGCGCGGTGGTGGAAAGTGGCTCAAAATCAAGATTCTTCCTCACATTCTGCTTTGGAGAGGGTGGCTTGCTAGGTCTTCCAGTTTTGTCTTCATATTCCTAGGACAAGGAAACCAGGGATGATTTTGGGCCCAGCGAATTATGATACTATGAATTGTCTTTCTGAAAGCGAGAAAGTTTTTTGGTAATGAAGGTCCTTTAAGTCAATCTTTCCTGCTATTCAGAAAGAAAAAACTCTGACTCAAGGGTTTCTACAGCTCTGAAGTTGAAGCCACTGCTTTATGACTGGGCACTTCCCCTGTAGGTGGGGAAGTTACAAAAGATCTTATCATCAAAGCAACCCCTCTATAATATAAGGGCCCACAAACATTGTCTCAGGTCTCCTACTTCCTGTAAAAGAGGCATGTTTTCTGTCTTCTGGACATTATAAATTTTAACTGATTATTATAAAGGCCACTGGGAAGCCATCATTGCAAATTGTTACATAAATAATGCCACCACCCCCAAAAAAAAGAACAGCAGCCACAACACTGGGTCACCAATTCATTCCACGGATTGCAACCACAAAAGCTTAGTCACACCTGGTGACAAACATTCCAAACACCCAGCCAGAAGAGTTCAGAAGAGCCAAGCAAGTTGGTACTTATTAAATAATGTGGGGAAGGGGGTACCCTTAGCTCTCTGCAAAATCAAAAACCAAAATTGTCTCATCGCCTACTATAGATGAGGTTCTCAGGACCATCCCTTAAGGAAGGACAATCTAGTTGGGAAGACAGGACAAACAAATGTGGAGTTAACCTAAGATTTCAATAACCATTCCAGATAACAAGAGCATTGTCATGAGTTGGTGATTAATTGTTAGATGCATTTTATTGACACTAGCTGTCAAGAAGGGTATTACTGGTAAAATTATTTTGCAAATAATTACTCTCTCAGCCAGAAAGTACTCTAAAAAGTAGAAAGAAAAATGATTTTCCTCAAAACACGTAGGGTATGAGAAGGGAGCGCAGCAACAAGCAACAGGTGGGTGGGGCAGTTTCTGTATATCTGGATGGACAAGGTTAGATATCTTAACACTGTTTACTCTGACTTAAAATTACTTCCACTTACCAAAAACTAAGAAAATGGATTCACTCCTTCATGGATTCAAACATCTGAGTGTACACCATGCTGGGTACATAGCCATGACTTAACTTGGCACTAGCCATCATGAAGCTTCAAGTCTAACACCTGAATGTCAAAATCTTCAATTTTTATAGGAAATCTACCAAAAACTATGTTGAGAAAGATTTTGATGCACGTTGCATTTTAATAAGAACTAGTAATGCATACCCCACTAGCCTGGTCTAGTGAATTGTATGCCAAGACCAAAGAGGTTGGGCCAAAACTTAGATGTCCCAGAATTTGAATGCCCATTTTCCATTTGCTTTTGTGTGCTCTACACATGTTGTCTCACTTTATCTTGGCAATCTAATTGGCAATCTAATGGCAATCTAATTGGCAAGTGTTATCCCACTTTACAGATAGGATAACTGAGGTTCAAAGTGAAATGACATGCCCCCAAAGCGAGGTGCTGGGCCTGCAGGACTTCTTCCACTCTGTCACTCTGAGCAGGCACAAACTCTTTTATGAATGTACTCAAGCAAATAGGTGTGCAGTTTTACAGGGAAATGGCTGAGTCCTACATGGGTTAGGTGTGGCCTCTGGAGCTAGACAGGACTGGGAGCAAATTCAGCTCCACCAGCCACTTGCTGTGACCTTAGGCAAAGTACTCACTTCACATCCGTGAGCCTCATTTCCACACCTGCAAAATGGGAAACAGTACCAACCAGAGAGGGCTGCTGTAAGGAATGGGGAGATGTGAAGGCCTTTGGTGCGGAGGGAGTGTTCGGTAACGGTAGTCCTTACTGGTATACACCATTACCTTTCTTTCTCCCTTAGACCTAGTGCCAAATAACAACCAAGGAGTCCAGCCAAGTCTGCAAACAGCACAGATATGAAAAGGAGGAGTAAAAGGAAGCAAATGTCTTGAGTCATGAACAAAAACATCAGATCTCTTCAGGCAGAGCTTTTTACTATTACCACCACCACCACCACCAAGCAGTGGCAGCACTTTTCTAGAGCTCTACACACACTGAGTTAACTCAGTTTAACCTTCACACCAGCCCTCTGTGGGAGGAGCTACCCCCACTCCCAAGTCACAGATGGGAACGTGAAGGCCCAAAAATGTCAATGACTTGCTCAGCTCAGCTCAGCAGGTGGGTGGAGAAGCTGGATCAGAAGCCAAGCACTGTGGTTCTGCAGCCACATTTCTCACCACAGAATTCAGGCA